AAAGTTTTACATAGGAAATCTCAAGGCCGGGGAATTATTGTATAGCTACTGTCTTTTTAATCTAAGGTGTTCCTTGTTGTAACAAGTGAAACTGTACTTTGGTGAGGTAACATTCCCATGATTTTGCTCTTCTAGTCTCGCTTCGAATCCTGCTTTGATTACTTATCAGGCAATCTTAAGTTCAAAATCCCACTTTCAGTTCCACAGTGAGTTAACGATGGCTCCCTTCTCTGTCTTGCCTGCGTAACTAGAAAGTCCAGCAGGGCACTTTGTGGTATGTAGCGTAAGTGAAACAGGAAAAACCGAGAAAGGCCGACAACTGAAGGCGAATTCTCGAAGGAAATGTGCTCCCCTCTCCCTACAGCGACCACCGCCGAGTATCCCCAACGCACGACCTAGCCTACTAGACTTTATCGGCCCGCTGTACAGCGCCGATAAAGTACGTAACAGGCTTGAAAATAATATTTTCCGTCGCTTTAAAGATTCCAGTTGCAGATTCGCGAGCTGGGCTGAGTTCGAAGCCGGCCACAGTGACAAGGATCACAAGGGAATCTCAGCACTTCATCGGAAATTGGAACCTTTTCTCTTGAGACGTGTGAAGAAGGATGTTGAGAAAAGTTTACCACCAAAGGTTACTTTTTAAGATCTTTATTGCATTATTACAGTGTTCGTCTGCGCTTCTACGTCTCTGTTTCAGCTCGAACAAATCCTGAGAGTGGACATGACTGCCCAGCAAAAGCAATATTACAAGTGGATACTGACGAAGAATTATCGCGAATTGTCGAAGGGCGTCAAAGGTATGACCCTTGACCAACAAGTTTCTCGCGGCTGTGAACCAAAATTTCAAACTTCAGGTTCCATCAATGGTTTCGTAAATCTCGTTATGGAACTGAAGAAATGCTGCAATCACACTTCACTTGTTCGACAGTACGATCATTTTGAGAACGACCCACAGGCGCGCTTACAAGTAAGTTCACAGTTGTAAAACGAATTCCTCCACACTTCAGCAACAGGAGGGGCAGTTAGCATTTTCGCAGCTTCCCATTGTCGTTTTCGTTGCTTTACGAGAGCTTGCCGGTATTTTTTTTACAGAAGCTGTCAAATAGATTCTACAAATTTTGACTGCTATTTTTCGTGGCTTCGCAACTTTTCACAAATCTCTGCTTCATTTCTCAAGACGACAATGGAAAGCAGAGAAAGTGCAAAATGGCTCCCCCTCTGGCCGAACTGCATTCAGATTTTATTCGAATTCTTTTTCTGTAGTTATTTCTGTATGCCTCTGAAATCTGTGATGGGTTTCAATGTCTGACCATCTTCAGCAACTGTTGAAGTCATCTGGAAAACTGATATTGTTGGACAAATTGCTCTGTCGCTTGAAAGATACTGGTCACCGTGTACTGATATTCTCCCAGATGGTCATGATGTTGGATATTTTGCAAGAGTACCTCCAGTTAAGACGATTTCCTGCCCAGGTGCGTATTTGAACCCTCTCCTTTGACAGCATAGGGACAATTCTCAAAGTCTATACCGCCATTCCTTCATGCTTTGATGGAGTTCCGAATTCAGCGTCTTGATGGCTCAATGCGAGCTGACTTACGAAAACAAGCGCTAGATCACTATAATGCCGAGGGCTCTGCCGACTTTGCTTTCCTTCTTTCTACTAGAGCTGGTGGACTTGGAATCAATCTAGCAACTGCAGATACGGTCAGTTGCTTTATTCCTATATTTAGAAGGGACCAAAGCGCTTCAAAATACTAAAATATTTCTTCTCTTTCAGGTAATCATATTCGACTCTGACTGGAATCCTCAGAATGACTTACAAGCTATGAGCAGGGCCCATAGAATAGGACAGACACGTCAGGTATGTCACGAAACTCTTTCCTTCTATCGATTCCTTAATACATTATCAAATACTGACTACTATAACAGAAGTGTGGATATTGAAGG